CGGGAGAAAGATGAGGCTTTCTACTCCCGTAAAGATTTACACCCTCGGAAACCCTATACAGGGTCGTTATGGGTCGGAACCGACTCGATGGCACATAACAACAACAACCCTAACTATAACATGATGTTGTTAAGTACTGTGGAGTCGGTTCCAACTCAATAGTAATCCGGTACAGGGTTTCAAGGAGTGGCTGTCAAGTTTGAACTGCCGACCTTTTAGTCAGTGGGTCTAGTGCTGTTGTTGTTGTTAAGTGCTGTCGAGTTTATTCCATTTCACAGTGACCCTGTACAGGGATTCTGAGGAGCAGCTGGTGGATATAAACCACCAACTTTGTGGTGTGCCATCCAGTGCTTATCCTATAGAGCCACATCAGGCGTATAATGCTATAGAGGGGAAATAAAAGGAAAGTTATTTAAAAATAGTAAGTACTTCAAAATGTAAATATTTGGGCATGATGTTAATAGATGTTTATACCTATTCATGTTGTTGTCAAGTGCCATCAAGTCTTTTGGTTCTGACTTACAGTGAATGTGTAGAGTTTTGGGGGAGCTGCTGGTGGGTTTGAACTGCCAACTTTGCAGTTAGCGGTCCAGTATTTAACACAGTAGCAGGACCCATATGTAAAACCATGAATGAGACAACTACAAATGCAGACTAAAGGATGTGTCACATTGGTGACTTAAATACCACAAGAAGTGTTGCTGTGAATGTCATGGTTTTCTGAAATAGTTGAACAGTTCTTGGCCAAGTTTTGAAGAAAACTAAGTACAAATTTCCCTCAGTTTACACACATGTGTTGCTAGAAGTTTTGTCATCTATTTAAACTATGGAAACATATGCTTTATTTATGTGTAAAGCACAGTGAGGTTCTGGCTCAGGTAACACTTACATACACAGATTTTTCACCTACATGAATTTTCAAGAGAACATTTGACATTATGAAGGTCACAGGTCAATTCTTCTATGTGAAGGACTGTTCTGTGAATTGTAGGTCATCTAGATTTTCTAGAAGGAACCCTCATCACAAAGTATTTAAGCACACAGCTGCTAGCCAAAAGGTCAGCAGTTCCAACTCTCCCACATGGGAGAAAGTTATGGTCGTTTGCTTCTGTGTAGATTTACAGCCTTGGAAATCCTATGGGCCATTTCTTCTTTGTCCTATATGGCTGCTGTTAGTCAGAATCAACTTGGCTACAACAGGATTTTGCATCTCTAAGCTTTGTGTACTAAATGCCATCATTGTAACAACCACAACACAAACTTCCAAATCATCCTATTATGGATTGTCTTGTGTTGGAATCCTAGCCTTTATATGTGTGGAAGTAATATTATTAGGGAATAGTATTTTCTTTGCTGTGGTAAGGAGGCCTTATCAGTTGTAGGGTGTGTGACAGGGTTGTATTCTTTCACCATACTTATTCAACCTGTATGCTGAGCAAACCATCCGAGAAACTGGGGTCTATGAAGAAAAACATAGTATCAGGATTAGAGGAAGACTCATTAACAACAAAACAACCTGCGATATGCAGATGATACAACCTTGCTTGCTGAAAGTGAAGAGGACTTGAAATACTTACTTATAAAGATCAAAGACCACAGCCTTCGGTATAGATTGCATCTCA